TATTTTTGGATTTGTCTTTGTTTCTCATACTCCATCGAAGTTTCACATCACTGAATGTACTTTGTGGCGGTTTCATTATGATTCACAGAATGAACGGGAGCTAAAAAGGGAGAGGAGGAAACAGTCTAATCGGGAATCTGCTAGAAGGTCCAGGTTGAGGAAGCAGGTATGAAAGTTTTGAAGGTGCCCTGGTCCAATATTCTTCTTTTAGTATGTGTTCATTAATGGAGATATGAGGGTAATGCTTCTTCCTTCCAGGCTGAGACTGAGGAACTTGCACGAAAAGTCGATGCCTTATCTGCAGAGAATGTGGCACTTAAATCTGAAATAAGTCGATTGACTGAGAATTCTAGCACACTGAAGCTAGAAAATGCTACACTAATGGTACATCCATATTCCACATGCTATTTCCTAATAATTTCTTTCCTCGGAGATTGATAAAAATTTCTACCTCTTTTATTTTTGTGCTAACTTACCCTTTGTCTCAACATACTAGGATAAACTGAAAAATACACGCGTAGGACGAATGGAAGAGATTATGATGAACATTGATGACAAGAGGGTCCAACCTTTTAGTACTGAGAACCTACTGTCGAGAGTTAATAACTCGGGTTCCATTGCTAGGGATGCTGAGAAAGAGGGTGACATGTATGAGAAAAACTCGGGGGCTAAGCTGCATCAACTCCTGGATGCGAGTCCAAGGGCTGATGCAGTTGCTGCTGGCTGATCGATCGACCGGCATACATGCAGTTTCTTTAATTCTGTAGTTTTGGCATATTACAAGCCCAAAATTACTGCTAACAGTAAGCAGGAGAAATGTGACAGCTGAACAGGATTGTTACCATGGTGAAAGCTGAGGCCCCTAATTGTTATTTGTGATTAGTTATCTCATTGCAGAACTAATGGTTTTTTTCCCCTTTTTTTATTGAGTAAGAGACTAGTATTCAGATGTGCTGGAATGGCCACTGAAAGGTGATGATGTACATTGAAGAGTAGAGATTTAGAATAGAAAAACCTTAATTTATGCCGTGTGAGTGTGGTGTAAAATTCAGTTACCAGTGATGTGATGACTATGCAATTTGAATGAGCATACATGTATGTTTTTTTTATTAATTATTCTTTCTGTTTTTAAGACTTTAATTAGTTACTTTAATCCCTCAGTTTGTATTGCTAATTGCAAATTGTGCTGAGCATATCCTTAGGCTTTGTAGTTCATAATACTCAAATGAACTGGATCCTTAATCCCATTAGTTAGTGACTTGCACACTAGGCACAACTTAGCTAGAAACTTTTCTGTAACATCTGTTGTCGTTCATGCATATTATTAACACGCAAAGCGTTGTATCACAGCCACGTTGGCGCCACATAATTCAGAGTTGAAAGGGGAGGGGCTCAAGTGAAAGGCTGAATGTGGACTAATGCAAGAAGCACAGTTGAAGGCTGGCCACATGATTCAAAGTTCAAAGTAGCTTGTATTCTGTAGTTGGTTTCTTGGGTTTATACCCCCTGCTTCATGAAAAAAAAAAACAGAGGTTCAAAGTAGCTTACGCCATGGGCATGATCTCGCCACTAATTGCAGCTCGAGAGCGCCATAGTCGTACGGAAGGTCGGGAAGCGAGAAGGTCTGAAAGCCATGAGAATGAGCTGCAGAACCTACGGCGAGGATTTTGGCTTCGCTCTGAAACCCTAATCCAAGGGATTTCCTGGCCACGAGAGCTCGAAGAGCCATCGAAGTGTGTTGCTGGAGGAGAGGTACAGAGAGGACGAGAAAGGAGAGGGTAGAGAGAGAGTGAGAGAAGACTCGTGGAGTGAGTGAGGTGAGTGCGTGCGTATATAATATATGTTGTAGGTGCGAATCTGGGAGCGGTCCTGGGAAATCCGACCCGTGTGCCCAGATTCCTTGGGCTATGATTTTCGTCTAAAACGGATCCAAGTTTTCTCATGTTTCTTTGCTGGGCTTACCCAATTATAATCTAACAACTGTAGCCCATGTGATTTTAGTGGGGTTATGTTATGGACACCAGAAAATTTTCATTAGACACCCAGCCCCTGAATTTTAGCTCTAAGTATCACGGAAAGGCTAGAATAAGGAGGTTGAGTGAGGAGGTTATTTGAGGAGGTGAAATCTCACCATCAACAACAAAAAAACAAAGCACATTGGGGGGGTTGCATTGGGGGGTCCACACCCCTTTTGATGGTGAGATGGGCCTCCTCAAATAGCATCCTCATTATAGAAGCTCCCCTAAGTATCAATGTCGTCTCTATCTTTTAACAAAACCATCACGGTCTCTATCTATTAAACAAAGTGTTCTGTTCGTTTGTTGACAAAATGGAGAAATGAGGAGGGTTTTTTGAAATTCGTTTCGTGATAATAACTCAGCTGAGGTTTTGGTTATGGTTTATTTATTTTACGAAAACGATATAGTACAGAGATTATTGAAGTTTAAAAACTCATTTGGAAACTCCAGTAACCTCATATTCAAATATTCTTTTCAGTTTATTGATTACTTGGTGATTTCGTATCCATTTTCTTAACAAGAAATTATTGGGAAAGAAAAGCAATGAACACATTGAACCTTTAGCCATAGTTTTTTCTATTGATATCTTTCATTGGGACGAGCAACAATCGTCCGCATTCTGTTTTTGAAATCTTTTCACGAAATTATAACATTATATGGTTTGTCTGTGACATGTTTGATGTTGCGACTCGCGAGATTGGATTTCAGGGGAGAAAGAAGATTTGGGCTCTCGGGGTCCAGTACTTGGCCGGGCTGGTTTTGTTGCGCTGGAGGGGGATTTGGGCCCTTGGGGGGCCTGCTGCCAGGGCAGGGCCCCTGCGCTAGACATGCTCTCAGTGTCACGTTGGCGTTGTATCACAACCACGTTGGCGCCGCATAATTCAAAGTTGAAAGGGGAGGGGCACAAGTGAAGGCTGAACGTGGACGAATGCAAGAAGCAAAGCAATACGGCGGCCCCCGCAAAGTTGAAGGCTGGCCACATGATTCAAAGTTCAAAGTAGCTTGTATTCTGTAGTTGGTTTCTTGGGTTTATACCCCCTGGCTTCATAACAAATTAAAAAGGTTCAAAGTAGCTTACGCCATGGGCATAGGTGATTCACCAACACATTCAAAGTCTGCCGGCTTTTGTCCCCTGTGGGATTACCCACGCATTTTCACCTCCACGTGATCCCCGTCTGCCCTTCTCGAAAGCTCACAATAACTGTTGAAAAATAGTTGAGAAGTTTTTACTAGTAAACAATGTGAAGTGTAAAACTTTTTGGGAGTATCCTTCAAATGAACCAGAAAGTTTCTTAGGTCCCGTTTAGTTCACGGAACGAGTTTGACAAGAAATCATTTTCCATGTCATTTTCTAAGAGATGGGAAATTGAAGATTCTTTTCCTACGTTTGGTAATGCTAGGAAGGTAACCGGAAGATATCACTTTATTTCATTTCCCATGTTTGTTTTGAGTAGGAATGGAAAACAAAGTTTGTATAAATTTTCAATTATACCCATATTAAATCAAATATATATATA